AACACAATGAACATTTTTTTTATTATTATGCTTGTTAACAAAAATACAAACAAACTGAAGAAAAGGGAAGTTAATTGATGTCACACGAATATGCATCCTCATTTATCCTGATTTTATTTTGTGAAATCTACGTCTTTCTTTTATGTATTATGTCTGGAGCATCTCGTTTCCATGACCAGCAGTAATCAGCCTTCATGCTGATGTTCCACCTTCCCTGATACCTCCTTTCCATTTCCCTGATGTCTTGATGAAATCTTTCTCCTTGTTCTTCGCTGACGGCACCGAGATTTTCAGGGAAATAGTCATTATGTGAGTGTAAGAAATGAACATTAGAGCTCATTTTACAACTAAACTCATTGAATTTATCGAGCATGTTATTGACAATACTTTCGTAATTTGGGGCCTTGTTGTTTCCTAAAAATTAGTCAATAACATCTTTAAAGGCAATTCACGTTTCTTTTTCAACTTTTCTCATTGTCCTTTCGAACTGTTCATCCTGAGTCAATTTCCTAATCTGAGACCCAACAAAAAATCCCTTCTTTAAGTTTCTCTTCTGAAAGAGCTGAAAATTACCAACATAGACACTTGAAACAGTCGCCATCTTTGTCCAAGACCTTTAGAAACTGCTTCACCAAGTCCAGTTTTATGTGAAGTGGAGGTAATAGGACTTTCTTTGTGTTAACTAAATTTTTATGTTTAATGTTTTTCGATCCTGGTATCAGGCTGACTCTGCGTGGCCATTGCTTCTTTATCCAGTGCTGATTTCCTGCTCTGCTGTCCCATTCACACACACACACAAAACAAAAAATATGGAAACTTTGTATAACTGGATTGTTGACCCAACAACATATAAAGGACTTATAAGTCTCCACAAAGTAGCCAGTCATGTTCTTTGCATTTGACCTTATTAAGAAGGAGATCGAGATTTTCGTATGTTTCCTTCAAGTGAACCAAATGAACAATACTAACAGAAGCATACATGTTACCATTGTGAAGAAGAACACCTTTTAGACGTCTTTTGGAGGAATCAATGAACAATCGCCACTCACTTGGTTCATAGACTGCAGCTCCTAGCATTAGTATTAACTCAGCAATATTGTTGCAATAGACCAGTGAACCTTCTTGCAAAAAGTATGGTATAAACTATTTCTCACGATTTCTGTACCAGTAAAATGATGTCCCCGGAGAAAGTAAGTTCTTAGCCTGAAGTCTGGACCCCAAAATCTCTGAAGAATCCTGTGGAAGGCCCAAATCTCTCACCAACTCATTAAGTTAACCTTGTATGAAAAGTTGTGGTTCACAAGATATTTCAGGTTGAAAACAATTCCTATAATAATTTATATTGACATCAGGTTCAAAACCAGACGAAACTGTATCAAGAGTCTACGGTGGAGTAGGTGCAGGTACATCAAGTGCATGAACAACAGGTCTTATAGCAGATTGAAGGTTCGGATAAGAACGTTCCTTTTTATTTCGAATGTTGTAGCCTTGCACGTCAATTACATGAGAAAAAATAGCAGTCATCTCCGCAGTTTCTAGGCTCACACCAGACCATTAGAATTCCAAAAGGCAAAGACTTTTTCTTACCTTTAGTCCATTGTCTCAACTCTTCGATACAAACTTTTTGCAGAGCCCATGATTTGTCTTGGTCCTCAAGTTTTTTTCCAAAATACGCGTAGTATGCTTTTTTGACGAATTCTGTAATGTTTTGTCTTTGTTTCTTTAGGACAAATTTACCACAAATATAACATAATATGTTTGAGTCATTTATACAACCTCTTGTTGTTGACGAATAAATAATATTGAAAAGGAAAAATAATGTCAAAGTGCACGCACAAACAAATACTACCCCAAAATGGCACGTCATGTGGCCTGTTAACCGTATATATACTAGAGGTGTGTTTCTCGTGGATTCTAGAACGATCGATAAGACTCTCACGTCGCAATTGGTCTAGAGAAATCTATAGCTAGTGGTTGTCAACATTTTAAGCACAGCAAAATGTGACCCGATTTCAATGAAAATGATTCACTTATGTAAAAGTACATATGATGTTTTGTGAAAAATATGTATGTGATAGAGAAAAATTGATAGCATTTTCAGATTCAGCGTACAGGAATTACTGTAGAACATGTAAAAATTTCAAGACAATAAAACCTGTGTTATTTTTCGTTCATGGCAAGGTGAAGTTTTGTATAACATTCCTAAACGCCCCCCAGTGGCACAGCGGTATGTCTGCGGACTTATACTGCTAGAAACCGGG